TGGAAGAGTTGTTTCATTTAGCTTATCGAAACTTGTTATATACTCGTATGGAAACAAATCCTTACCAAACCCACAAACACAACGAATCTTTTCTGAGCAGTTACAATCACCTAAATACGTCTTGAGGTAGGAACTGCAGGATGTTCCAGCTGGAAGGTAATTGGAGATGTCGAGAATCTTGAAATTATTTGTAGAGATGCACATGTAGCTTGGGTTTTTGATAACCATATTGATGTTTTCAGGTCCTAAGACGGTGAATAGATCCTTCTTAATCAAATTTAGATCATATCGTCCAGAGGTAAAACCTAGGAGAGGAATTTGCTGACATAGTTGATCCAATTCCTTTTGATCATCTACTTGTTTGTAGAGAGCACCAAACTTACATACATTGTATTCATAGATGCTATATGCGACTGAATGGATGTGTCTAAACATCGGATCAAGGAGATCCTTACGGTCATTACTCACGAAGCATTTAGCCGTCATACTCCAGCTATCACAAACTGATACACTTACAGGAACATGCTTGCTAGTATATACTTGATATACCGCTTCAGCTAGGACGTCATGGTGCCGTTGCCGCTTATTACTTAGCGTCCATCCAGCATTTGTTTTCTCCGAAGAAGAGTTTAAATCACCTGGTGTAGCGCACTTTCCGCTAACCAGCGAGGCACTACCGTGTTTCATGCTCTAAACTCGGTACATAGCTGCGGCTGTCTTGTGTATATGAGTGGTTTTGTAGAAGCACCGATGTAAAAATTGAATTATAGAAAAAACGTCATCATTGCGCCTTGTACTTTCAAGATCAAGCATTAAATGACACTCGAGTGGAACGTCTGCTTCACAGAGGTCAGTTTGAAACAATGCGAGCAGGTGACGACGTGTGATTTCACCCAGTGCGTGTATCGAGTGCAATACCGCTCGGCACTTTCACCAACATGTGGTACCAAAGGTAAAGTCTTCATGGACGGCGCAGATTGACATGATCGCTGCATTCAAGAGCTGAAATTACTCCGTAGCGATAGTGATCTGTGAAGTCAGAACGTGTTCGTGGCCTTGATTTTAATCGTTTAGCTCTCCGTTTGACTGAACGGCCTACATGAAGGGACGTGTAAGCGCTCAGGATGATGCATAAATTGGTTGACAATGCAATAAATCCATAATCAGGGCAAGATCGAGTCTTCAAAAGGCGTTGCAACGTTTGCACTTCAAAAGGAGTAAGACTCCTAAGTCGGGTTCTGCTCATTGGTGACGAGCTGAACGTAATCGTGAGCTTCGCGACAGGGGTTTCGCAAAACCTCTCTTTATTGAAAACGGAGACAAGATACAAAGCGAACAAAATGTTATTTGCTCAGTGAATGACTCTGCCTTACGGCTCTCATCTTGAGTAGAGACGCTCGTCTAGAGCTCGTAAAGTTGCCAAGTTCGTTTTGGTCGCAGAGCACCTTGACCCTCTTACTAAGAATAGCTTAACAATCATCGGCCAAATAGACCGCACCTTTCTTACAGGTTGTTGAAGACAATGGTATACAAAGATATGATTTCCGATGTACACAAATTCGTATGTACCGGCACTGTAAGGTGCAAGTAGAAAAGCAGCGCTCGAAGCGATGTGGGCTAAAAGAAGGCACATCTTACCATCAAAAGAAGCGTATTTCCGAAGTCTTTCATACCATTACTTAAATAATCTTGGTATTTATTACTATCGCAGTCCAAAATTCCGGTTTTGCGTGTCATATAATTGTAAGAAAACTCTAACTTGTGAATCTATTATGTACTATAATACCCTTCCAAAATAGAGGATTTCGTCGCATCAGCTTCATAATTCTGAGTCTACGAATCACAAACGTCGCAGTGTGTAATTCCCAGCTCAATGAATCTCGACGCTTTCATCACGCTAGCTTTCAGCCTCGAAGGCCGAGATAAGCTATCTAAGGTAGTGTATATCGTTATCTGCAAAGTATCTTGTCTCTAAATTCTATCTATTGTAGATACTTCAATATGGTAGCCGAGCTCTGGCCTTCTATATTTTGTCAGCTGATCCGAAAAGTGACGTGGGTCAGCGTTTACACGCACTCTATCAGGTTATGCAGCAGTCTCGCAAGGCTTTCCGACTCGGCAAAAGTATTACATACTACAAAAAGCTGCAGATATTGTCTTGCAACAAGAGTCTTAACGAGACACAACGCTATCTACAATTTGTGCAGAATTTTGGGATGCTTGGCTACTTCCTTACGGACAATGTAGCGTTTGCCAGCAAAGCCAAAGTACTTCGCTTTGATGCCAATGAAGTCGCCCGACGTGGTGGAATTATGTGGTTTACTGCTAACATTGCCGGATTTTATAACGCACTCGATAGTCTAAACGCTGACATGGAAAAAGAAAAGTGCGTTAGAGACATTTTGATCTCCGAAGAAGACAGTGCTCGTATCGAAATGCTTCAAAATCAACTGGAGACGATACAAAAGGACCGTTTTAAAAAATGGCTTGCAGTGCTTAAAGTCACATGCGATCTTATCGTGTCGTCCAACACAAGCGGTGTGCGATTGGCCGAACGTATTACAGGCACAAAGTTACACGACGGTATCATTGGTTCACTTGGTTGTGTATCGGCTGCAATTGTGCTATATACTTCGTGGCCCACTGTAAAGAACGAAGCCAAAGATTAAGTTCTTATCGTAAAAGTCTTGAACAAAAATCTTAGTTGAATAAGTTAAAGTTTCGACTATTTAAAAATGCAACCGTTACTAAATTTTGTGTTCAATACATGGCTTCGGAATGAACCGCCGGCATCGATGCGATAAGCTAAGCGAAAGACTGCGGACCGAAGTGGAAGTCTCAGCAGCACTTTGGCAGAAGAAATCTCAAGTTAACGAGAAGATAACAAGTCAAAACGCTCGAACTCGCTTGGAAAGCAGGAATGTAAGTTGAAAATGTTGAAATTCATGACTTATTTAAATTAATGTAACATGTCTACAGACTACTAGTTTAACATCTTTATGTCCACCACACCTCAAGTCCAATTTATTTTTTTTTAAATATTTTCAACCAATACGTGCCCAAAAGTCCAATGTAAGAAAGCTGCGGGTGAATTTACCACTAACTGTCATTTGCGAACGCTCGAATGGTAAGGAGAGGGTACTTTGGTTACGTACAGATGCTTCTGGAAATGTCAGTAAAGAAGAGACGACGTCACTGTGGCGCAAGAAACTATCCAACGAACTCTTGAGTGGAACTATACCCACTGAAAGTGACCCTTTATTAGCTATTCGATGCATCTCACGAAGGAAAAATAGTCTTGAATCTGGTGGAAGTGCAGTGTTAATGACAAAATCGATACTAGAGCCTATAATTTCTGCTCCTTGCGACGTTCCAACTTATTTTCAACAGTTTGTGCACTGTCGGGGATCCCAGCCAAGCGTCTACCGCATCTTTTGGTGTCACGAAACACAAAAATGTTTTGGAATAAACTTAACAACTAGGTATGTTTCATCTTGACACTTTTAAAGCTACAATTAACGCCGTCGGTAGTGTAGCTTGACTCCCTCAGAAACGTTCGAAAGGATGGATTTTGATCGTACTGTGACTCACTTGTCAGTGTCTACAAAGAATGAAACTTTACAAGCCGCAATGAATAAAGCAGCACAATTAGCTCAAGTTTATTGTGTGAAAATCTCTCCAAATGAAAAAACTTGTGCGCGATGGCCGAAATTGCGAGGACACTTGATAGCTGAAGGCGTTGAGGCTACTGTACGTATTGTAGAACATGTACAAATACGACTACCATATGTACGTTTTCACGCGATGACTGTTGACTTTATTAAAGATATGAGTGGTAAATGGTGGCTTACTCGAGTAGTAGACTTCAAAGTCTCAAGTTTGGATGAAATATCCATAGAGGACGATAGACAAGACTCGGCAGTGTGTCTTTCAAAACTCGTACATACGAAGCATGGAACCATCATGAAAGACCAACCAATGGAACTTGCCAAATCCTTTTCGCAAAACTTCACTTTATCACATGATGCTATGAATTCGCGCTTGTGTTTTCTCTGTGGGTGTTCGTGTGATCTTCCAGTAACATTGAGAACTCAGCTTGAAGCTCTGATACAAAATGAGAGCTCTGACGAAAGTAATGCAAATCGCACTATTGCGAAAAAAACTCTTTTTCGTAATGAGGTGCGTATGACACTTACAATGGCGCTTGAGACAATCTTTTTGATGAGACAACGTGGTGTGAGTCTTTTATCCTGGGAACATGCGGTTAATTCGGTGCGCAAAGTCCAATGTGACTTTCCAACGTGTATGCTCTGCTACCAAATCTATCAACAGCAGTGTTGCCTTGAAAATCTTGCAAGGGAGCTTCATTTAGTTCTTTCACCATCAGTTGTGAATATGAACGGTCAGAAAGAAGACGATGTGAAAGTGTTAGCTTCTTATGAATTTGACGACAACTTTTCAGCATCTCCAGTCCCCAAGTCGTCTCACCTCTTGATGAAGGAGCAACACAACGCTCGCGAGACGTTACAAAATGAATCAAATTCACCTCCACTCGTGTTGCATGGAGAACCTACCGACTTCAGATCACGATCGGGTTTGCTCGTGCCCTTGCGAGGAGCAGATATCGATCCTACGGCCTCACAGCTTCGATTGCTTTTCTTCTTTCATGAGTTGCAAGACGCAGGTCCTGACTTAGATCCCTCGAATTTCTACTTGGAGTATCAACTTGGACAGACTATCACGCAAGTGCAGCTTGAAGGCAGTAAACGTCATACGCCGAATCGATGGCAACTTTGTGAAGCACGAATGCATTATGCGTGTGCCACATTGGATGCGTTTAGCGAATTTTGTGCCCAAAAGCAAGTGCTTATTCAATTTAAGTCACGAATTTGTGACGATGGTGATGAGAGCACTAAAATGATTTGTATGGCGAAGGGAAACATTTGTGGGTACACGTTGTTGACGCTACAGGCAGTATATACGATCGGTAATTTGATGGAAAAATCGCCGCATGAAAGCCGCACAGATTACTTATTGGAGTTGCAAATGGCTTCGTACGGACGTTTGATGCTTAAACTAACAGTCGGACTTGTTGTCGATCCTGTGCCACTAAGTCAGTTGCGTGATGTGGTACGTGACCTTCTTTTCGTTGAGGAGAGACCACCAGGTGGAATCTATTGGCCTTCAGCATCCTATTTTCATACTGGTTTAGCCGTACCTCGAGATTGGATCAGTACACTTATGCCGTCTGAGTACACGAAACAATCACCCATGCTCCGAAAGTGGGGTCGTCGGACTCGCAAAATTCCTGAGTGTTCTACTCCAGCTGCCATCATTGTACCCTTCCATCCTAAACAAAGTTTTTTACGCCGAAGCTCAATTACTGCGAGTGGAGTGGAATTACACACAGAGAACATGACAGAACTCACAGTTGGCGAAAAGTGGCTCAAAAAAGCAGCATCTTGTGGCGATATTTGTGAAGACTTTAACGCTGATCACAAACTTTTTGACTCACTGTCTATGGCAATGCCCAAGTCGACGCTGTCACAGATATGTTTGACAGCCAAACGAATGATTTCCCGCTTTGTTGAGGACACTGTGATCGTGACGTTTCCAACAAGAGTTTTGGGAGTCATTCTTCGCAACGCAAATTTCACTCTTACTCGGAAATCGCACGCTACTTTTCAACTTGCACGGAGATTGTCTCTTGACTGCTTGTTTGCTGAAGTGAAGCCTTCCTTTTTTCCTACCTTAGCTTTGCTAGGTGAGCTCATGCTTACTTTACTCGAAGAACAAGAGTTGCCGACTTTACTTGACGCAGGTGCACTGGAGCGTCTGCTCGATCCATTTTGGTATTTTGAAAGTGGGTTTTCCCTTATTCCTCCCACTCAAACCAATTGTTTGCCTCAACATCGAGTTTTTTGGAACCGTGCCATTCGACGCTGGGAAGCTACTAGCAGCGGTAATCGCATAAGAGACCAAACAGTGGGGTGTACTGACATGATTTATGAATATGAATTAAATTTACTCTCTGAAATTGGTGAGTTTCGAGTACAAACGTTAGCACTTGTGTTGTGCGAGTTATTCGAGCAGATGGAGTCGTTGGATAGTGGGTATATTGCGATAGCAGAATTGCGCTCACTGGACAGGTGTTCTGACTTTCAAAAAGACTTGCGAATTGATTTAAAATTGGACCCTGACGCAGGATTGCGTGAACGACTAAAACACGAAGACATCATGAATTTAGCAGAGCTACTTGAACAGCAAAGACGTATGGCTATCTGGACTCTACTACACTCCCTCATGAATACTTCAGTTCTATCAGCTGCTCTTGATAATTTTGATCAATTGGGTTTGGGTGATTTAAGTTTTCAAAGTGCGTTGCTGTATCATTTTTGTGGGCTAGTTGTCGATTTGTAGCTTAAGTTGTGGCTCCATGATGTCTATGTGTGGATAGACTTTTGTCAGCTAGCTTATGAAGCGTTGGTGTCGCAACGTAATCTTCTTCAAGCTCTCAACGAGAAACCGAAGCAAGTACCGCATGGATTTTGTTTGCGACACGGATTTACGGAAACATACGCAATTGATAGTTTCTGTATACACTGCGCCGTTGAGGTTTGTGCGACTAGATATTTTCCCTTTTTATAGTATATACCAACTCTCTCGATGATTGCGTTATAGTACGAAGTGTTTTCAGATCTGAAACAAGCATCCGGCACCAATTCGAAAAGCATTCAGCCGATTCAACGAGACAGTGACACGAATGCTGGAGCTGTGCAAGACTCGAGAAGGGTCAGTGATGAGTGCATATTACTAGGCAAATGTACAGGAAGAGACTTGAATATGATAGAAACGCGAGCTCGAAAGTCTGCAATCACCAGACGCGCATCAGCACCAGAAATTAAGATTCGTCAAAGCGTGTTTGGCTCTGTTACCGGTGAGACTATTAAGTCCGAAACGAATTCGAATTCTCGGAGACAGCGAAAAGATGCTGTTGCTTCGACGTCCCAATCGATAGATGACGGGGCGGAATCAATAAATCAGCACTGCACAACAGAAGGAACGCAGTTGAGTAGCCGAAAGCAAGATAAAGAGTGTAAGACATTGGACGGTACGACCGTAAAGGAGCAATTGCTAGAAGGCACTATGGACTCACATTCTGCCAGACATGCGCTGAAATCAACTAGAAAGTTGAAAGAATCATCTCGTATGATGTGCGAAGTCAAGAAGCAGGTGAAAAGGAAGAGTCTAACAAAAGGTTCGTATCGAGTTCGAGTCAAACATTCACGTCCGACATCAAAGTCACTCTCAAAACTGCTACGTACGGAATTTTGTGAGCGTACCCAAATAACAAGTGCTAATCATGCCATCATCGAAAAAACTATTCAAATCGAGCAGCGACGAAAAGAGGTTTGTTATTTCTAAATCTCTTTAGTATGTCATTGCTACGCTGATATCAATTGACAATTGCAGCTTGATCGACTGGTCCTTGATGAAATCCAACAAGTGAAGAAACGACTGACTAAACTTCAAGACATGACATTGCAAATAGATTGAACAAAGAGACTATTGACAATCTCTAATGCGGTAGAGATACCAACGAAGTCCATTGTTACGCTCACTCCAGTATGGCTTCCATTGTAAAATTCGAAACTACATGAAAATATTCGAGTTAAAGTCTTAGATTAACGCCAATTTTCACAATAGACTTACCCCAATCGACAGAACGTTTGCATCTGTCTTTAATTGTTGTCTTAACCTCTCTGCAATTCCTTTAAGTGACTCTGCAAATGCATAGATTATCACTAATTTGGCTTGTGAAATGTCAACCTGCATGATATCCCCAAGCTCAACATGAATTTTGTGCGAAAGATCTTTTTGTTGTATCTGTTCCTTTGCTTTCTTGACAAGATTCTCGTCAATTTCCACTCCAAATGCGCTACAATGAAATCGCTGGACCCCCGAGATTAACCATCGGCCATCGCCACAGCCCAAATCCACTAGCAGATCGTCGGATCTTAAAAGTGTATGTGAAAGTTCAATCTTGTTCCAAACTGCATCAATTAAAGCAATAGGCGAGGGACTAAATGGAGCAAATATTTCATGATTGCACTCTCCATGTTTTGGTGTTAAGACATCGGTAGCTCGTATCCTGGCAGCTTGGAGAATCAGTTGTCGTATATGTCGTCGGTCACGATGCATAAGGTTTGATTGGTAGATAGTTTGTAAGTCGATTTTGGATTGGTAAAAAATGCTGACTGGAGCTCGAAAGAGTGTTTTCGACATTTAATTATACTTGTTAATATGTCAGATAGAGAGTCTATCACGCATCATAGCGATAGCGATGAGGCACCTGAGGTTGTGACAAAGCAGAGTGCGAAGGAACAAGCTTTGAATCAGCAACGTCAAGAAAAAGAGGCTCACGCGCAGGTCAAAGAAGCCAAGAGGTGAGTTAAGAAGAACGAATCTAATTAGTCATGATTTCGAATGAGAGGTGCATGTATTTGTCGTAGAAAACGGAAAGTTAAGAAGGTGACAGCAGAGGCGGAGGAAGTCCCGAAACTATCGGATGATGTGTTGTCAGCTGTTGCGACTCGACATGAGGAAGAAGATGCAGTGGACTCTGTAGCAGAAATTCGAGCTCAAAAGCAACTTGCTGTCAAAAGAGCGAAAGTAGCAAAGTTGATGGAGAAAAAGACCCACACGAGGCAATTTGGTAACATTCAAGTGCAGACATTGGAGACGCTCGAAAACATGCAGACGAGGGAATTGTCAGCTAGTGCAAAGGAATTTTTACTGCGGCGCACAGCGCCGTCACGGGCGAGAATGAATATTTTGGACGGTCATCCATCGCAATTTACGAAAAAGAAACAACGCATTTAGTAGTTAGAACAAAATGGATTTATAATAAACAAGATGTTGTACAAAAGGTATGACGTGTGATGTTGTATCGAACGTCTATGCTGAGATCACAACCAGATTTGTTTGACTAGCTTAATATTAACGAAACAGCATCTTTTGTTTTATCATGTGGTATGAACAAGTATCATACTTGAGCAACTTAATACACCAAAAAGACCCATGCTCATATAATGTTTTCCGCCAATCATAGTGTTCACAAGTGGATGCGCATAAACAAATTCGTCTATACATTTCTGACTCAAATCTGATTCGGTCCAAGTGTGCATATTGATCCTAAACTTTGCTTTGCATTCATCTCTTTGTAGTCATTTCCATTGAGCATGAAGACATGACTAGCATCAGAAACTATCAGAAGCTTCTTTTCACCCGTAGCACAATATTTCTCCAATGTAAGACGTCAGACCGTTACAAATGGTTACATCGTTTAACAATATTGAAATAGAATTGGGGTATGCGATTGTCACTCCTTTGACGCATAATACATGGCATCAACGTTATGATCCCGGTACGTGACGACATAAGTGTACCCCTTGTACTTCTGAGTCACCACATTGCTCATTTCAAATATTTCACTCCGTCGCATCAATTGAGTCTAAAAATGAATTTCTCCACTTCTCCATTCAATCAATTGACACCAAAAGCTCAAGAATCCTCATTTCTCGCTTCTCCAACCTCTGTATTCGTTCAAGTAAATCAATCTGAAGATCTAAATTCAAAACAATATGAACTTCCAGTTGATACTCAGCAATTCGATCGCGCTACTCAATTGAAACTCAGCAGTATGCAACGTCCACACATGCGTATTTTTTATCTCTCGTGGATGTCAGCAATTACAGGTTTCTTTGGGTGGTACGCGATTCCACCACTTATGCCAATCATTAAAACACAACTTGATCTTTCTGATACTGACGTCTTGAATTCGGATATTGCAAGTACAGCAAGTACAATCTTCTCACGTCTTGCAGCAGGTCCATTGCTTGATCGATATGGTCCTCAAGTGGTTCAGAAAACAGTGTTATGGCTTGGTGCACTTCCAATCTTTTGTGCTGCATTTGTTCAATCGGCTACTTCATTACTTGCACTTCGTTTTCTTATTGGTATTGTTGGCTGTGTCTTTGTTACAAGTCAATACTGGACAACAATTACATTTGCTCGTAATGTAGCAGGAACTGCGAATGCAATTACAGGAGGATTTGGACTCTCAGGTATTGGATTTGCTTTTCTACTGCTACCATTTATATATCAAGGAATTATTGCAACTGGTATAGTCTCTGAAGATATTGGATGGCGAATCACGATTGCTTTTCCTGCATTCTTGATGCTTATTATGAGTGGAGTCATTCATTTCGCAGTCGATAGCTGTCCGAGTGGAAAGTTTCAAGATTTTCTACGGACGCAACGTCGTTCAGAACAGGAAGTAAGTGTACAACGTACTCATTTATGCGAAGCGTTTCGAAGGGTACTGTCCGATCGAAATGTACTTATAATGATTGCACACTACGCAGCGTGTTTTGGCACCGAGTTACAGTTGAACAATATGGGAGCTCTTTATTTTTATAATGAATTTAAACAAACGGATTGTACGAACACTTCTGACTGTTCTGTCCTTACGAAAACAAGTGCTGCGACGGTCGCATCGTCGTTTGGTCTGATGAATTTATTTGCACGAGCTGTGGGTGGAATCGTCTCCGATGCAATGAACTGTCGACTTGAAATGCGAGGTCGTCAGTACACCCAATTGATACTTCTCTGTATTTTGGGTACATTAGTGATGGCACTCAGTCAGTCGTACAACCTTGCACTTTGTGTCACACTGTACGTACTTGTTGCTATTGCAGCTCAAGCAACAGGTGGATCAACTTACTCTATCGTACCATATTTAAACGAAGAATATACAGGCACAGTCAATGGTCTCGTAGGTGCTGGAGGCAATATGGGTGGAGCATTCTTTGGCGTTCTCTTTCGAGTCACTGGATCGTACAATACAGGATTGTTCTACATGTCCGTTTTCATCTTTTTCTGTGCGTTGCTCACACCATTCTGTCAACTCTCTCACGTTCAGAATCATAGTGACGTAGTTGAAAACGTCAGCAATATGTCGCAACATGAACCGAATGAGGTGTACGACCAACTAGCAAATCCACACGACTTAACTGTCGTACAGACATAGAATTTACACTCTAAGCTCCTTTTTAATTTAGCTTGATCCGTTTCATTGTATAAAAGTTAAAGAAATTGAAATGATCAAATAGACCAACATGGAGTCTGGACGACGAAATTTGCGTGCGTCCAGTCCCGAGGAAATGATTGGAAATACATCATTTCATACCTCGAATCGAGTCCAAGTCGCTCCACTCCCTTTAACAAGTGATTGCCATGTTGGTCAAGTGTTTGATCCAAATGCTTCGTGTCCAGCTCCACGAAATGAGCATGAAGAAGCGTACATTCCTGTTGCTTTAGCTCGTAGTCAATTAAAAAAAGTTGTTGCTGATATGCATACAATGAAAGCTGAACAAGTGGAAAATGTGACTGCTATTGTTAATCATTATCGTCAGCTCGAGAAAGAGACACAAGAGCGCCATGAAACACGTGTACGAACCTTAAAAACTCGTGCTGAAGAAAAAGTGAACGAAACACGAAAGTTGTATGATGAATTGACAAAAACTGGATTTGAACGGGATAAAATGTACGCACGAGAGAAACAAGAGTTACTTGATGAACAGAGTAAGGAACGATGGCAATTTGTACAAGATCGAGAAGAGTGGCAACGTTCGTTGGAATTAGCACTGCAAGCTCAAGAAGATCTTTTTACACGAGAACAGAACGTAGCATGTCAAGAGATTGCACACATATCGCGCACTGCGTTGAAAACTTTACTGGAATACAAGAGTTTGAAGAATTTCTCCAATGAGCTAGAAATGTACGTTGAAGATGCGTTTGGTCAAACTGTTCGCATGACTGAACTATGTCAAAATCTTCGATCAAATTTGAAAACACAACAGAAAGCTTGGATTCATTACAAAGTCGAAGTACAACGACATTATGAAGTTTATACAGATATCAATGGACTTGTCTTGATATTAATTGATGAGGCGATGGAGCGCGTTGAACATCAGATTCAAGCAAACCAGTGGCAAAAGTTTCAATTGAAGCTTCAGGATCTTCAAACGAAAGCTCAAACAGCTGAATCTCAAATACTTTTATTGAAACGTCAACTTCGGATTGCTTTAAATCAATATGACAAGATTGAAGCTCATGCTGTGCAAGAAACTCTGCAATTACTTGTTCATGCAGTTGTTTGTATGACGAATGAAAGTTCTGGAGTGATGACTGTCAATGTACGAACACAGACACAAGAACTGAACGACGCGATAGAAATTGCTGATGAAGTTTCTTCTAGTAGTAGTGAGTACAAGAAAAATGTTGATAAAGATGATCAAAAACTTGCTTTGATTAGCTCAAAACAAGCACTACATGACGCAATCGAGAAGTTGGAGGCAGCGACAGACGCTAAAAAGACGGTGAAAAGCTCAGTGAAGACGTGGTTGAAAGCGTTTCAACATCAATTTGGAAGGGAGCCATCTCACGAAGAAAAAGCACAAGTCAAAGATAAATATCGTGCTTTTAAACATGCGGAACAAGCAGTTATTTTACAAAAACGAGTTGTGCAAACGCTAAAGCAGCAACATCAAGAATTGATTTCGAAATATGATGATTTGAATCCTTTGGATATACAAGAAAAGAATGAAACTGGAAAGGTTTTGATAGAAGTAGCGAAGAGCATTCAGGAGGGCCCGTCACGTCTTGATTCAAGTCCACTATTACGTCCATCTATAGAAACGTTTGATGTTGGTGTCGAAGCTGTTGTCAAAAGGAGAGATAGTTCTACGGATGCTGATTTGAATGTTTGTCAAGATGAAGCAATTGATATATTGAAGAAAGAGCTGGAGGAAGCTCGGTCTCACCTAAATGTGTGTAATTACGAATCGAAGATGACTGAAAATCGAAATGTTATGATCAAGTCACATTGCGAAATCTTAGAATCTTCTCATGATGAATCTACTCATAGCAAAGTCGAAGAAATGAATTCTGACCAAATGCGAGTGACTAAAAGAGAAGAGATGGATCAAGACGCTTATTTAGCTCAGAAAGCTGAAATTACGCGATTATCGGATGAAATCCTTCAGCACAAGGCCGAAAAGAAACGTCTAGATATTGAAATCGAGCAGTTGCGATGCAAAGTGTCGGAATCTCGCGATCGTGGCTTGAGCTTACTCAGCGAAGCAAAAGTTAGTTTGGATGTTGATATCAAAGGTTTGGACGATCAATTGACTGTAGCAAACGAATGTGAAGAGTGGAAAGATGTGAAGGAGGTTTTGACGAAAGAGGAAGAGGATCTTCCAGTTGAACCGAATCTGTTTGAGAAGAAGGAGTTTCAAGAGAAAGAATCACAAGAAATAAAAGAAGATGCTGCTCGATCTATTCAAATCATTCAATTGATTACTGACGCTGTAACTCGAGGAAAAAGTCATTTCAATCGAGGCGAGAAAGCGAAATGTTATCAATTATATACTAAATGTGCTGAATCTTGTATTACTGAACTCCAAGGTTTAAACGACAAACAACGTCGTGCAGTAGCCTCTGTTCTCAAGCGTATCGTAGTAGAATCTGTACGTTTACCACCTGCACGAGGAATTCCAGCACTTCGTCGACAACTTGATATCGTTCGAGAATCTTGTGAAGAATGGTTAAATACTCGAGAACAGCAAGCCCGAGGTCGATTGACTGAACGAAGTAATCGCAAGGATGTGGTTTATAATTCAATGCAGGAAAAGAGTGAGGAGAAGAAAACACCTAAGAAACCAAACATTCAGAATTCATCTACAGTCACACAATTTTCTCCAGTAGAAGCAAATGGAATCGAAGAAACTCGACAAAAGTTACGATCACTTGAAGCTAGTTCGAAAGCAGATCAAAAGAAAATTATGCAGCTAGAAGCTGCTTTAGCAAAGAATTCGATAAATAAAGTGCAAGAAACGAATGCAGTCGTTAACGATCGTCGTATCTTGGAACTTGAAAAGAAACATCAAAAAGTTTTGGAAGAGAATGAAGTAAAAGCAAAGAAAGAAATTAAAGCGCTGAATCAGAAAATTCAATCTACAAACGAAACTTGTCAATTATTACGAGAAGAAATCGATCGATTACAAAAGGAAGTGACTCAAACAGGTGGACAAGTGAAATTTATTGGCGAATTAGAGAATGAAGTGAATCGATTACGCAATGAAACTGCTTTAATTCTTCCTTTGCGAAATGAAGTTCAAGATGTGAAAGCACAACATATAATACTTGAGACAAGATATCGAGAGGAACAAGCACTTCGAAAGAAATATTACAATCAAATTGAAGATATGAAAGGAAAAATTCGAGTTTATGCTCGATGTCGTCCAATGAGTGAAGCTGAACGAATTCGTCAATGTACAAATTGTGTCAAAGTTTTAGATGAATTTTCACTTGAAATTACTGGAGGAATGCGTGGATTGAAAACCTTTGTCTATGATCAAGTATTTCCACCAGGAAGTACACAAAATCAAGTGTTTGAAGATACCAAAAATCTACTTCAAAGTGCTGTAGATGGATATAATGTATGTATTTTTGCATATGGTCAAACTGGATCTGGAAAAACCTTCACGATGACAGGGACAGAGACTGATTTAGGCTTAAGTCCACGAGCAATTTATCATTTATTTCACTTAGCAGAAGAGAATCAAGTAAATTGGAATATTACATTTCAAGCAACAATGTTGGAATTATATAATGATACGTTAGTGGATTTATTTCAATTACTCGATGGGAATACACAAGATGTGAAATTGGAAATTAAAAAGAATGAAAAAGGTATGGTCATTGTTCAAAATGCTTTAATGAAAAAGTGTGTATCACCAGATCAAACATTACGATTATTTGATGGTGCGAATAAAAAACGACAAGTGGGTGCAACGAAAATGAATGCCGAGAGTAGTCGAAGTCACTCGATCTTTTCGCTTTTGATTGAAAGCTATAATAAAACGACCAAAGTGACGACAATTGGAAAATTAAGTCTTGTGGATTTAGCAGGTTCAGAACGAGCTGGAAAAACGGGAGCGACTGCTGAACGACTGAAAGAAGCTCAAGCTATTAACAAGAGTCTAAGTGGTACGTTTGATATAAGATGACAAAGGAACTTGAGCTCAAGTCTTGTGATTATAGCGTTAGGAGATGTCATTTCAGCGCTTTCAACGAATGAAAAATTCATTCCGTATCGCAATAATAAGGTTTGGATTTATAATTTATATTATCGGGAAATGTTTTTGACTCGATGTGAGTATAGTTAACACAATTGATGCAAGATTCTCTTGGTGGAAATGCCAAGACTGTAAGTCGAATTTTTATTTTCGAAAGATGTTAGAAAACTAATATTTGGAAACTTTTGCAGCTTATGTTTGTGAATATTTCACCGGCTGATTATAATCAAGTACGAATTTGTATTTGTGAGTGTTCAGAGTTATGGCTTATAATTTCATGATATTAATTAGGAAGAAACAGTCACGTCGCTGACGTATGCGTCACGTGTGAAGCTGATAACAAATAGTGCTAACAAGAACTCAGAGAGCGAGCAAGTGAGTAGACTAAAAGCCATTATTAAGCAATTGCGTGCTGGCAAGAGCGACATAGAGTTTGACGGTGTCCTTGACTAATGTCTTTAACACTATGGGAATGAAATAGACAAAGAAAAGGAAAAATTAGGCTCTCAACAACTCGGTGTATCACATTTTCTTCTGAATCAGAATAAAAAGAAAAGTTGGTCGGTTGAGGACGGGAGAAGTAAAAAGAGACCGGGTGAAACATGCAACACTCCACCCTTCATAAGGGATTCCGCATCGCCAAATGCGTCTCTACCTTGCTTTCTGTATCCCAAGTCTTGGCTATAGGTATTCATCTTGCTTCTCTCACGCCCTTTACGCTCAATCTCGTCCACTTATCTGTTAGCCTTAGCCACACGTTCAATCTCATCTTTTTTCTTGATCGCGTAACTGTTAGATGAGCCCTTGGACGCATTAATTAGCTCATCAGCAAGACACTCTGCAATGGTCTTGACATTACGGAATGAAGCTTCACGAGCGCCCGTAGCAATCAGGTACAAAGCCTGATTAACTCGACGGAATGGAGAGACGTCCACACCTTGGCGACGAACGACACCAGCCGAGCCAACGCGAGTCGAGTCTTCACGTGGGCCCGACTTAATGACAGCCTCAACGACCACCTGAAGCGGATTCTTGTCCGTCAATAAGTGGATAATCTCAAGCGTATGCTTGACAATACGCGTCGCCTTTAGCTTCTTGCCTGAGTTGCGGCCTCTACGCATTAAAGCATTCACAAGTCGCTCCGTAATCGGGCACTGCGCCTTACGAAAACGCTTCTTCTGGTAACGCTGCGCCGTGTGGGGCAAAAAAGTCGCGGCTTTGCCTTTCACCGCGATGTAGTCCTCGAGAGAGATGTCAGCTGCGACGCTAATGTCATCGTACGACCTATTTCAGTTGAAGAATCCGACGTTAGACTACAATTTAAACGTCATTTTAACTGGGGTGTGACGGCTACAAGGCTGTATACGCCATTATTTTTGTTGTCTGATGCAAAAAAGGACACTGTATTTGCTGCTATATGTTAAACAAGAAATTCTTTGACTTACCACTTGTTAAAAAGCTTCACTTCCGTTGCAACTTCCGCCATGTTGAGAGAGTTTCCGAGGATGTTAAAGCCGCTTATGTAAGTAAGCGTTGAATGAATGGGTAGGAGGCTCTCCACATACGAAAATCAAGTTTACCATACTTGAAACAAGTTAAAACAAACCCTACACCTCTGCGGTCCGCGGTTCAGGAAGTCGGTTTACAGTGCATCCATTGATAAAACAACGTGAAGATATCATTGCGATTACTATTCTTGCTATACACAAATTGCACTTTATTGAGCTTTCACGTATACAATTCGAACAAAAAATATGAACAAGCCAGTGTGATATGCATACTTTCTAAATCGTTAATTATAATGATTCTATGCTCGCATCCCAATCGACACTATTTTCTCGCGTCAGTTAGAGCTCATGACGCTCTAGAATTACAAAAGAGTCCTCAACGTTGACATCAGATGTCGTCTCGGTACTGTCCACGCAATTTGTGACACGTGTGGAAGGTTCAACCATGAGCATTGGCGAACGTTCTAGTCGCATGGATGCACTCATTTCATCAGCTTGTTCCGACCATCGAGAGGAAATAAAGTATCGCGAGCTAGTAGCAGCAGAAGCTTCTGGAAATCCAGCGCCATTTTGAAGCTCTAGCATTACGTAGTCGCTCGGTATCACCGTTGTATCCGTCTCAACGACACTTGCCACAGGAATATTGCTGTTATCAACTTGCTGTTCGTTTTTGCCTTTTTTGTATGCTACATCAACGTGCTTAGCTTTAGATAGCAGACCATCAACAGATTCCACTGCCACAGGAACGCCTGCTTTGTGAATTGTTTGCTGTGTCTCGTTCTCTTGTTCCCATTCTTTTCGTTTCATATTCCTTTGTGTGTAATCTCGTTCTGCTACAAAGAATGCACTTTGACTTAACTTTGTCTCTGTCGTTTCAACATTTTTGGAACATGCTCTTCCACTCCAACGCACGCTGTTGTCTTTGCGGTAATTAAACATTGACCGACTCATTTGTTCATACAAACTTTCATGCGTCACTTCAACCGACGGAATCTCTACAGCTGTTGGCGTCACTAATCCATTCACTGAAAGTGTTGGAAACACAAGACCCAAGCGTTCAACTGGTTCTGGAGAAACGTTCGGATTTACTTCACGCCGCACATGAATGCGTTTCTGCCCACGCACTTTTCCCACATCAATCACATGGAGTATCAACGCCTTATCGGGGCTACTAAAATTATCGTGTAGAGCCCGTTGAAGTATTGTGTTGTTGCTTACGGACACGTAGCGCCGCTCACCGTCCTTGTCACCAGGCATCTGCATCAGCAATGCAATGCACATCTCGTCCCCCACACGGTCTCGTGCTAGACGCCGTAAAAATGTAAGACCAGCTGCATATAAATACCATGCATCTACTGGTACAGGATCTGCGTGAGTCTGCTCGGGAAAAGTCACGAAGCAGGACGAGCGCACGACGTCCGTGGTGATAGGTCCGCCTCCCATAGGTTACTATCAGAATATGCAGCCGCCTTGTGGTATAGTGTATAGAATTTGGTCTGTTTTATCAATGTATTTTTTACCTGATTGTGCGTAATTCAGTACAGATAATCAAGCATCTGATCACTGTATTTATATTTATTGCCACTGGTATAAGCGTGGCAAATTACAAAAATATATTTTCTCTTGTCAAATCTTAGCCAGCATTAATGCAAAATACACACATGTGTAGCAGTGTTTAATAACTGTGCTTGCACTGTCCAGATGATTTATAAGGCTGTCTCAAGTTTTAGTGTCACTCATTTAAGATGTTTGTTCTCGCTGAGAAGCATGCGGAGCTCTATCGACATGTGAGCGTGCACGTTCGCAGAGTATTCAAACACTAAGAGGATACAAATAACGTATGGTTAGTATACTTTACATCAATCGAGATCTCTATAACACATTAAGCCGCATGATGTTTATTTTCAAAGCGATTCATTCAAAGACCCTCGAGATGCACATTGAGACGTTTGAGCTGTACTTTTACACTTACTGTTTTCACTTTATCATGGCGCAACGTGAGAACAACAAGTGCAGGCATCTGAAGGCTTTGATTAGGTCAAAGACAGCCTTCTTCATGCACCAATGCTGTCGTTGCCAGACCCCGATCATCCTTTTAGTGTCGTCAGTGACGCTTCGAACTTTGCCATCGGCTGAGCACTGCTGCAAGTAGACGTCGAGGGGCGAGATCGAGTGATCACGACTCTCGCCAGCTCAAGGCTGCGGAGAAGAACTACCAGGCCCACGACAAGGAATTATTTGCTATGAAGTATGCACTTGTCAAGTTCAGGGTTCATCTGCTCGGCTTCAGGCCGTTCAAGATCTACACAGAGACGCACTGCGACTAAGTCGCCTCAACTCTTGCTGAGGATGGCCAGGTGGCTCTCCTTTTTTGCAAAATTTAACATCAATGTGAAGTATAAGTCAGGAAAAACAGAGTGCTTTGGCGGATGCGTTGTCATGCAGACCTGACATGAGCTTGCTCATGTCACGACGGTGACGTTGTCAGTGACGGATTTGATCCGCGCCGCGTACGCGGGTGATGATATGTGCGTAGCACTGCTCCGGGCCCTCGATGCAAGGAGTTCGGAGACCTGGACAAGAAATTGTCGGCGCGTTTGCGCGCATGGTTACACTGATATTCGTAGAGTAACAAATTGCTGTATTATAGCACTGATTCAACGGATACGCCATGAATTGTGGTTCCTCACGATGAGGATTTAAAGACCGTATCTTCTCTGAGGCTCACGATACCCCCACTCAATGATCATCTCGGTCAGGAGATGACGTACTGCTCGGTGACGTTCCACTATTGGTGGTTAAAGCTGTACAAATGGACGATCACATATGTGCAAACGTATGAGACGTGCCAGAGGGTGGAACCTTATCCGAATGCGGTGGCGCCGCTGGCCAGTTTCCCGGTACCCTCCGGGTGTTGGTAGTCAATGAATATGGACTTTGTGTTTGGCCTGCCGAAGGATCCAGTAGGCAACACGGTTGTGGTGGTTTTTGTGGACCGTTTGAGCAAGATGTCTCATCTTGCGGTAGTGCCGGACACCATTGACGGTGCGAGTACAGCGACGCTGTTTGTGACTCGTATATTTCGACAGCACGAAGTAACGTTTCTGAAAGAGACCCAAAAGAAGTTTTAATCGACACTCTTCAGGGTGCCAAGCACCAAGTTGACTAAGCCAACAGCGGACCCTCTGCGGACCGATGGTCAGACTGAGCGCGTGATACACGTCGTCGAAGGCGTTCTTCGTAGCGTCTGCACTGCGACGCCGAAGCGCTAGAGCGCCATGATACCACTCGTAATGTTTGATCTGAACAATGCAGCGCATTCAACTACCGGTTACATGCTGTTCAACGTGAATGGACTTGTTGATCCTCGCGTCCCGCTGACGCCGTCATCCAATGGCTCAGGACTTGGTGGAGGAGGAATAGCCGAATGGCTAGTTGATGTAAGCTCCCTCACTGTCTAAAAAGAGGTCAATGACTTCTTATCTACCAGACTGAGTGTCCAAGGACACGTTTGCGATGCGATTGCTGAAAGCCAAGACATGCAGAGAGAATACAATGGCAGGAAGTTGAGGTTCCTCCTTGAATTGGAAAACCAAAATCGAAGATAGCGCTCAACACGCACGTTCACTTCCTTGTGGCTTTGCGGCAAGGTAGACAGCGAAAAAAGTTTGCACCTATCGCTCAAAGATCTCCTCATCATTTGCAGTGGTTTTGCCAGTGGCGAGCACCACAGGAATAGTCCACATTGCGGGTACATGAGCGCCTCCTCTTTGAGTGCAGGTACCTATCCTTTGTGATTTCTTGAGGTTCCAAGCAGGGAGCTCGGAGAGATTTTCGTTGGTCAAGCTCAGCTTGTGTAGTGCCCGACTACGTAGACGCCTAACGATCGAGTGATCGTATCTTTCGCTTTAGAAGCGGGATCCGCAGATCAGAAGCCGTGGGGTCTAAGACCGAGTGTGGATACGAGCGCATGAGAGCCGCCCTATGGGCAGCCTCCAGTTGCTGCTCTGTGCCTCGTCGAGGCGATTAGTACTGATACCATTCCCCCTGAACTCGAGAGGTCGGGGAAACGGACACGGTGTCCGCAAGGTTCAAGCTGGGCTCACGTCGCGCCGTCGGCACGCCCCATCTTCCTCGTCTTCCCATGCAGGGAAAGGAGTATCCAACTCGTACTTGGCTTCCTTTGAATCCTCGACAAAAGAATCTGTCGCCCGTGGCGGGCGTGGTGTGTGGCTTAAAATATGATCCCCGTGAAGCCGCGGACGTACTGTCCGGAGATACACTTTGTGCAGAAGAAGAAGAAGGGCTTTCCCCGCGTTCATCCTAGGAACCACTTAAGCTATTTTTTTCGTGTCATAGACTGAGAATTTATTGAGCGGAAAATGTTCAAGGATGTTCTTAAAGACGTGACGGTGTCTCAGTCACGCGAGCCTCGTATGAGGCGACGGTACAATGTAGATTATGGGGATTCACAATTTCGATGGAGAAAGTGTTGCGGGGTGACACGCACCCTTGTATGAAAGGGCGGGTCACACAAGATGGTGTGACCGTACATACGTGTGGATTTCACAAGTTGATGTAATCACACAATGGTGTGGCTACACCGTAACAAGAAGCCCCTTCGTGGTAGGATCGCCAGAAGTTATGCATATTACTATATCAGCTAGGTTTTGCGATATTAATTAGAAAAACCTAAGGTTTTAGATATTGGCTGCTCTGCCACAACAGCACATCCGTGTGACGGACCCACCATGCAAAGCTGTATAATTTCACGGGTAAATGGCATGATCTTTTCTACTTTTGAACGGGTTGAGCTGAAATAGAACTCAGGTTTGTAAGAACCCTTCACTACTTCAAAAAACTTTGATAACGCTGAAAGAAAGGTTCCTTGAATCACAAGATGGTGAGGCCACCGAAATCGTAGAGTCGGTACCGGAAAAAGGGGCTGAGCTCATAATCTGTAATGGATGATTGTATCGTTAAGAAAAACTCACAGAGCACTATGTGCGAGGGCCGCCTTCAAGGTTCTTTCTATCCTATATTATTTTGATGTGGCGACAAGTGACCAACCGAGCGTGTCCCCATCGGAAAGAGGGTGCATCATGAAACTGATTGGGTTTCCGGAACGAACTATTGTGATAAGCGATAGAGGTCCCTACACAGCAGCCGGCGTGACGTCATTGACGCATCTTCCGTTTTCATTCGGAAAGCGTGTTTGGTATGAGGTCAAATCTTCACATTCTGTGTCGACTTCTTGTGTCAGAAAGGCTAAGGGAAAGGACGGATTGTGCATGCTCATCGATAGGTAAATGCATTTACGATTCAAAAACAAACGCCGAAAGGGTGTGCGGTAAAAAATTAAGTCGACTGCATCTTGTTTAGTGCTCTTGGCATGGTTGATGGATACTGTCTGCTGCTCATAAGAGACGGTGATTTCTCTCTCACTGTGGTCAGACTCTGAGCGGGGGCTTTCTTAGGGGTTAGTTATGCCACAAAGACTGCAAACACACCAACAACATCCAGACGTCTGGCGATGCTTCTTTCTGTTTCAAATCTGCCATGCCATGTCGTACGTTACGCTGATGCCCCTAATGAGGTTGCGTATTGCTCTAAGCAGATGCCTAAGAGCATGAATGCGTTATCGCATTTTTCGGCTTGCTAGCTTCGAGCAGCTACCCTGATCATAACAAAGAGCTACTTGCAATGAGATATACCCTCGTCAAATTCACAGCGCACCTACTTACTCCAGGCTACATGTTGCGTACATCGACCTTGTCATCGCATCACTCACAGAGAATGTCAAGATTTTTTTTGCGTTTGTGTCGAATATACTAATGTAAGGCATTAGCTGAGTCAGCTTCATTTGGCAGCGGTGCGCTTTAACATCGCTCCAATTGTGAGCTGTGAATGTCGCAATAGTGACGTCGCGCCTCGATAAACCGACACGTCTAGCATACATGTCAAGCCTAACATGTATTGTGCTGCTAAAAGCTTTATTATGTAAGTAGTTTTATAGCTAAGCTGTTGCTTTATCAAAACGCGCGGTTGCACGTCTGCACCGCTAAGCCAAATCCCAAGGATTGATGTATGATAGCATTGTATATTGTAACACACGGCGTTTAGTAGTTTCCCATGATGGGGATCTCAAGTACAGATTACTAAAGCACGAGGTACCGCTTTGGGTAGTCATTAAGCAAAAAAATCTATGAGTGCTTTCTCAGCATGTACTGGTGAGTAAAGGTATATGTGGCCACGCGTGGAGCGCATCAGTGGAGTTTAACCTCGCCGTATGCGGTGCAATCTTTGGCCAATCGGTCGATACGGTCGCGTGTTTGTAGCCTATCATGATGCATCTGGTTTTTCAGAAGAATCGTTTGGTAATGCGGGCATTGCTGTTCTTCAGGTCTGTCTGGACACGATGACTCATCTTGCTGCGGTTAGAGATGATGTGACCGGTGAGGACACAGCCAAACTGTTTTTAACAAAGCGTTTTTGCCTACATGGCTTGCAAGTAGCCAGTGTACTCGAAAGTGATATTAAAGTTTTCTAAGATGCTCGACACCAGTTTGGATACGTCGATTGCTGGCAAGTCGCAACTAGCTGACCAGATGATTAATCCCGAAGCACTTAAGAGGAAATTCATCGAATTGCTTCCACTTGTTGGGGTAACGTAATTTATCGTAGTATATATCCCAGCGGGTTTTAACTCATTTTGCATGAATGGCTTGGCGAACCCCCGTGTGCCTTTGGTACGGCCACCAAGGTGCTTCAGTCTTTGTGGAGGGGGGCTATCCATTTAGAAACAACTTGCCGATATCAGCCCGGCTACTCTTCATAGCAAAATCGGTGGGTTCACCGTAATGGGATTGATCATCATGTGCATGGTACGCGACGCTGTGGGTGAGAGCCAAGACAAATAAAGGCAGCATATTGATGCTAGAGGCGGGCAGAACACCGAAGAATATCTGTGGGGCAATGTGTTTAATTGGATGAAATTATTCACCTACCCACACGTGCAGTGTCTACAGTCATTCAAACCAAGTTGCGATCGCGCTACAAAAGCGATTAAATCATACTTCGAATACCTCGAAGCGAATGATAATGCCTACGGAGCTCAATGTGAATTTACTGAAGCCATTCCACGATTCCGCTCTTACCAGCCAGTCGCGCGCTAAGAATTCCGTTTATGACGAAGCACCGTCTCCATCATCTTTTGTAGTTCAGCCCTCTTGTGACGCGGTACTGAACCATTTGAAGTGCCCCAAGCAATGATAAAGCAAAGATAGGAATCCGATATCCGGCCCATTCCAGCCACGAACGTGCGCGACTCTCGGACCGAGTCTACTAACCTTTAAAGCCGAGCAATCCAGCCACGAGAGTGTCGACCTTCGTCAGCACTGTTCGATGATCAAGAAGCGGCCCACTTCCACGTAGAATATCAGGCGGACCGCAGGGTCCGTCAGGGCTAACCTAGAAAGTGGTGAAGAGGAAGTGTTCCCTCAGTCGGAAACTTGTGGGGCGGTCGAGGATCCACATCGACAAAATTGCCCTAGTGTCATGGCTGCTAACGACCTGTTAAATTCTCGGCCATATACTCTTCTAAAGACGAGATAGGGTCGCGTGTCGCAACGCGCCTGACTGGTTGCAGGTGACCGACCTTGCGGTGAAAAATACTGCTCCAGCTGTCTCATATAGACGAGTGGCGCTATTATCAGCAAGTTTTTTATCTGTCATCTTGACGTCCGCATTGTGCTCGCGCAGCAATAAGGCTAAACACAGTGAGCGCCTACTGTCTCTAGTTAGCGGCTAGGCTGTGTATCACCGAAGATGTGCGGTCGGGACTTAAAAGTCTCCAGGACCGTTTTCATCGAGGAAAGCCTTGGCATTCTCACTAAGAATTTCATTTGGCGCGTCGTTTGCGAATATTGCAGTTTTTGTGATAGTTTGTCGAGCCATCTAATTTGGTGCGCTGAATCGAGCTCTCAGTGCAAGTACACTTAGTATAGCAGTCAAGATAATACACCGAGAGTGATCTGTGCGGAGCTTACGGGAGTATCGCTGCAGGTAGGATGATTCTTTTGCAGCTAGTTGTGATCGCTCAGAGCTCATCGTGTATTATTGTGCCAAGTCTAGAGGCCCTTGACATGCAGCCTCAAAAACACTCAAATAAAGTGTTTACCCCGACAAATCAAAGCTAATATATGTTGGCTCATGGCAGCATATCAATTCACATTAAGCCATTATTGACTGATAATGATGGAATTTGCTTTAAACTGATTACATCAATAGGATGTAGCTTCCCGGTCTTGTGAGGAGTCAATGTCAAAAAATTGTCTTATCTCTCCCTAATTGCTATTCTTAGCGGAAGCGATGATTCTCTTCCACGTAGACGTGACTGATCAAAGTTATCCGCAAGTGAGCTGAAATAGACTTAGAGGTCATTTGTCGAGATGAATGAATAAGCTCTAAAAGACTGAAATGGCGTGAGAGAAGTCGGCCCCATATATGCCCAGGACAGCTCGCTCAGATTTACTTGAAGCTTTTCTTTTTCCTCATTCAGTCGATAGGAGCGAATGCTATACTTTTGTAATAATGTGACCTAGAAAGTAGGATCCTAGAAAGTTTTGGTTACGAGGAAGGACTTTTGCGAGTAGAATTCAATGCACGTTGTGAAAACTTGCTCCAAAACCCTTGAAAAAATATATTGCACTATCAAGCTAGAAAAATATGTTTCAGGACATGTATTGCATTCGAAGAGCTGCAGCTACAAGACCCGATTTTATAGTAAATAAACGAAAGTTTTAACTGGTCCAAAACATTAACAGGATGTATTTGCCGTGATAAGCTTCATTTGTTGCTACACTCTACTTCATTATCAGTATATTGCAGAAAATATGAGATGGTAAGCAACATGACCACTGATAGACCTCCATAAAATAAAACTGGCTGCGTCGGGCTAGCGCTACAGGCCACTTATTTTTCTTACACGAAGAAGACATATGCCATGTGTATACACACTCCTAAACCTAGATGTATGCGGTTAGGCGTCGATAGGTGTATGCCACACCATAAGGTTGGGCAGTTGTAGATAATATTCTTGTTTTTTGCTAGAATAAATAATATTTTTCAAGCACACTTTACAATTTTATAGAATTACCCTACAATTAGTGTTCTAGGCCTTATATCGGACAAATTACGGATATTAGAATTAGCTAATACCAGTATCGAGAAAGTTGAACGTTCGTAAAAAGTACGCCGTTCCCTGTGGAAGCTGCAAGTCATATGGTTCAAATTGACCCGTCGTATTAAATGCTAGCGCTACGAACGAAATGCTTACGTCAATACTATGATACTTACCGCTATCGTATAGTGTTTTCTTTGATTGCCAGGATTCTCCCCAAAACAACATCTCAATTCAGTCTTCCCAGCCGTTTTTACATCACCAGTATACACAGATTAAAATTAGACAAATTCCAATTGAATCTTCAAGTGTTTTATCAAATTTCAAAGGTTCTTAGTAATTTTTTATTTACGGAACGCCATCCGTTCCATGCAGTTTATAAATTTCGTAAAAGCTTCAAGATGGCGTCCGTGGAAAGCCTATGGTCGCCTTCCTCGGCTTCTTTCCTGGCTACTACACCACCTTTAAGTTCTTCAACCAGTTCATCGTCTGCGCCGTCATCTCCTGTTTCGAATTTACCACCTCTGAGTCCTCCACTCTCAGTCAAAGCAATGCAATCGAGTGAAAATGGCGTGAATCTACCGTTTTCTGGTGGTCCGGACTTTATGGACTACAAAACTGTAAATTTTACAGTACCACCGCGGCCATTAGACCGACGTGGAAGTCGAGAGACAAATCGTCCTCTTTTTAGTGAACGACAGCGTTTTACTCCAACAGCAGATAAACTTGTGCTTGTAATGGTTGGACTTCCTGCTCGTGGTAAATCATTTATTGCCAAGAAATTATGGAAATATTTTTGCTGGAAAGGGCTTAAGTGTCAAGTCTTTAACGTTGGTCAGCTTCGACGAGCAACGAGCTTTGGAAAGAAGCAAGATCATTCGTTTTTTGATCCAAATAATATTAAAGCGAAGGAAGAGCGAGAGAATCTTGCACTTGAGGTATTGAAACAAGTTCAGCGATGGTTTTGTGGGGAAAATGGAGCAAAAGGAGGTGATGTGGCAGTTTTTGACGCAACAAATACGACAAAAACACGACGAAAAGTACTTACCGAGACATTTCGTGCATTTGCTGAAGAACACAAGACGAGTGTTCACGTGGTGTTTATTGAAAGTATTTGTACGAGTGAAGCGGTGATTCATGCTAATGTCAAACAAAAGATTGAATGCAGTCCAGACTATCAAAGTATGCCGGAAGAAGAAGCGTTTGCGGACTTAAAACAGCGTTTAAAAAATTATGAAGCAGCGTACGAAGCGCTTGAAGACGCAGAAGGCTGCAGTTATATTAAACTTTTTGATATGCAGTCAAAAGTGCATGCCAAAGGCATTTATGGCCATGTTGCCAAGTCAATTTTGCCCTACATGATGAGTTTTCACATTGCTCATCGTCCTATTTGGCTCGTACGTGCGGGACATTGTAACGAAGTGCGACGAGACTTTCGAGCTATTATCAAAGATCCTTGTATTGCACCTCGTTCAGCACATTTGAGTCCACTTGGTGTAGATTTTGCGTACCGTCTTGGCGAGTTTGTCAAGCAGCGGACTATTGTGTGGATGGAAAATGAAAGCATGACACATGAGGATGACCCGACCGATTGTCTTGTCATGACGTCGACACTGCCGCGAGCTGTCCAAACGGCTGATTTCTTACCTTATGGGAAACGAAGTACGTTACTATATATTAGATCAGAAAGGTTCCGTACGTGCTGATGTTTCTTTGCTTGTGTCTCTTAGTGCAAATGGCGACGCTTAATCCTTTGGACAAAGGCGAATGCTATGGAATGACGATGGATCAGATGAAGGATCAGATGCCAGAAGCTTTTGCAGCGTACGAAAAAGATCCTTGGCGTACGCGTTTTCCCGGTGGCGAGTCATATCAGGATCTCATGATGCGTCTTGAACCTGTACTCATTGACATTGAGCAACACACAGGGCCTGTACTCGTTGTCTCGCACATTTCGACATTGCAAGTACTATATTCTTACTTTTTGGGCGCACCTATCGAAAGCTGTCCGAATCTTGAGATCCCGTTCCATTCGGTGCTTGAGCTTGTGCCTAATCAAGACGATTGGACCAAGACTGTATTTAATATGCGCGCATAAAGTGTACGCACCTCCCTTCGTATTCTACTTTCTTACGAAGTCCATCCTTCTGTACGCACTAAAAGAAATTTCTAACACGATATATCTCATCTTGAAAGTTTGGGTGGTTATTCAAATGGTCTTTAATATACTGCTGACACTGTTTTGACAAATGTTCTTGTTTCAGTTCCACATTATCGAGGAGAAACATCTTTCATCCTGTTCCCTTTAATACAATTTCGAAGTCACGACCATTTTCGACCTTGAAGCGAAAGCGACTTTGATACTGTTGATCTTTTTGAGGGTGGAAATCGACAGAAAGATCTAGTGGTGCGTGAAGAAATGGGTGACAGAATCTCGTGTCTTTACGCAATCGAACTCGCATTGAGTCAGAGATATCAAGATATCCTTCATCCGACTTAAGTACTGGAGTTGGTCCAACGAGTACACCTGTAAGCTGTGAGAATGTAAAAACTTCCGGCTTATCAATTAAGTGCGCGTCATATCGACGCATTTCTTCTTGTTGAACTCGTGTAATCGACTTTGGTCTTGGTATATGCTGAATTGAAAAATGCGCGGGTACAACTGTTGGATTTGCAAGGCGTAAGACAATTGAACGAGATGTGGTAACTTGTCCAAAGTTGATGATTGATGGTGACACGACTATAGCAGGGCGCAGGACCACTGCAGTCAGTCGAATCGTTTGGATTGATTGTGTGGAGAAAAGAACTCGCAGCTCACCATCGATTTGATTATGAAGAGACTGCAGGGAATTGCATTGGAAATTAGGTAAATGACTTGTCTGAAAATTCGCTGGAAGGAATCGCAAATCGATATGCACAGACATTTGCGGCGGTAGCAAAAAGATGTGGGACTCGCTCATAGTTGAGGGTCGACGATGTGCTGCAGATAGATTTTTCGATGATAAGGGATGTCGTGGTGCTAGTGAGACGGCGTTCGTGACGGCAAATGGACCTTCAGACTCCAGTCGAAACGTTACTTTTGTCCCTAATCGATTCAGTAAAACAATCTGACGAAGATGTGATGGATGTGCCTTTGATACAGACAAGAGTGTGGACCAAGTCGTGAATTTGATGTGGTACGGATGAAGCATTGGATTGATTGTCGGTATAGAGCTGGAAGTTTTCGCGTTATGTGCATCTAGAGCTTGTGAATTCAAAGCATGAGCTTGATCGCGAGGTTTATCAATAAACAGCTCAGGCTCGATTGTATCAGCTGAAAGAAGCACACTAAGACACTTAATACTGAGAGAGGAACCAGGAGCTCTTCCCATCACTGGCCCTGATTTCCGTCCAAGTGCATTTGCCATGCGCACTACAGCAAACGCTTTTCCAACTGCCGTTGCACGACGGTTGTTACTCTGATGCTTCAAATTGATTGAGCTAGCATCTAGTTGAGAATTTTCCGAAGAAGCGACATCAGACAACGTCGCATTTGATTTTATATTCGTGTCTGAGTGCTTCGTATCTTCATTTTTCGGGTCATACCAATGAGCATCAGCCAATAACACAATTCGCGAAGGCCCTAGAGTATTTGATGGAGGCTGAAACGTGATCCGAAATGGCACTAAACTAAACGCTGGAACCATCGCTGTCTTTGGCTCAATTGTAAATGGAAGAATAGCTTGACTGTCGTGGTCGCACGGAGTGATCTGCAAGTGCAATTTCGATGCAAAGTCTACGCGTAACGTGACTCTCACCTCTTGATCTTCGCTTCCACTTTCAACCAATTTCCACACAAGACGAGCTTGCTGTGGTCCACGATTTATGACACTTAAGGTTTTTGTGATTGCATTGGATCGCACGCACACTGCACCAAATTTTAGTGTTGGTCGAGAATTCACAGGATTATCTTCTATCAATGGCTTGTTAAAATACAACCCAACGCAGTTGCGCTTGAATGTCAAGGGACTACCAACAACGTTTACATGAGTGTGTAAAATGATAGGAAGTGCGCCGGTTGCTCGACAAATAATGTCATCGACATAAGTACCAGGCATGTTATTAAAACAAAGAATTTGAACGACTTGTTGTTCCCATGGAGGGATCGATACAGATGAGGGGGAAATGTCAAAAGCCACTCCACGATTGTCGCGCAATATCTGACGCGCTTCATCTTCTTCGACTCGTTGACGAAGATATTTACGTCCACTGGATGATTGATAGCAATATTCATTTTCTTTGGCATTTGAAAGGCGAGAATTGGCATAGGTTTTGGATGGTATGAAAGGAAGTTCAAGCTTATCATTTTTAAACGATGTCTGTTGTGCACGGTTAAGATTCTCGTTATTTTTCAATACCAAAGTTGAAGACGTAGCTGCTGCAGGAAATCTCTTTGCTTCTAGCGTTAGAAGCGCTTCAATGCCACTGTAGTTCTGGATTAAAAGATTTAGTACTCGTTTTTCTCCAAGTGGTACACAATCTCCAAAGGCCAGTTTCGGAACACTGTTTACTTGTGGCTCTAAGTCACAGTCAGAAAGCGATATCTTACGTTTAAGGGCAATCTCCTTTGGAGACTCTGGTAGTTTAATAGCCGACGTAGACTCTTTTGCTCGATAATCTGAAGGTAGTGGAGCTTGCACCAAGCTGTATGACAGAACAAGCCCCTTGTGACTGCTACTCACTTCGAGTCCTAAAGGACCTGACATTCCACGCACACTACACGCAAAAATCACTGAAAATCGACCAGTTTGTCGTGGTGTGTAATGTAACGTGACAGCAAGTCGTGCTTTTGAGTGAATGATGCCTTCCTTTGGTACAAACGAGACAGTGTAAGCTCGAGATGTTCCTTCAGGTTCTACAAATTTGAAAGCAGTTTCAAGGTTTGAAGCATTTACAAGTTCAAAACTTCGATGAATCTCGACTCCTAAGTAAATTATCCCAAGCGTTAAGTGGGAAGTTGAGAGAAAAACCTCTGCACACTGAACTTCAGCACGACTTGAGACTGCAGCGTGTGAAATTTTATTGCCAGTAAATGTCCGTTCTGGGGCTGTTTGACAGCGGAAAAGACCGCGAAAACGTTCGGGAAATGATCCTGCCATGCAAATTGCTTTCAATGTGAAGAGCTCGCCAGGTGCTAGCACGCCAGCATCAGGAGCAAATGTGACAATAGCTCGTGGTTGGGATGTTCGTGATGTAAATAAACTACGCTCCGTGTCATTGCCAGAAACAAAGGAAGTTGATGAACGTCGTGAAATGACCGAGTCTTTCGAGTTCGATCGTCGAAGCTTTGGACCCGGTGACGACTGTGTTAAATGGTTGATTCCTGACTCATTTTCTGGTGTCAATCCTAACTGTACGAACTTCCAGTCTGTCGTCACGGTACGTGATGGATTTCGGATTGTAATCACCGACTCGGCGCCCGTTCCAACTAACACAGGCCCAAAATCAATTTCTCGTGTAAGAATTTCAATCTCTGCCCCAGCAACGCGACCTTCAAGAAGTAACCAACGCTCACAACGTGGACTTTGTAAGTTGCAATTGTCAATACGAGAGACAAGTTGACAGGGTACACTAAGTGAGAATGAGCCAGTACAAAAAGGTGTGAATGTCACTTCAATACTCTGATGTCCTAAAGGCTCTATTTCTCCTGTAAGTGGCCGAATTGCAAGTTCAAATGGTGGGATTTCTTCATTTTGAACCAAAGTAGAAAGAGATGAATCATGCATGGTTAAGTGTCGCTGTCGTGTTTGAGTAATATCCCAACAGAATGCAATGCGAGCATTGCATTGATTGATTAATTGCACGGTTGACAAGTAATTCTGTTTGGAGTTGAGTATATGAACGGATTGAGAACCCGAATCAGGTGATTTGTCTCGAAACAAAGTCCAGGAGTTAATGAAAGCAGGAATGATCGTAAAACTACCATGTTTTCCACGTCCATGAAGTTGTATCGAGAAGACTGGCATTGCATTTTCTACTTCAGTAGCTGTAGAATCCAAGTGATCTATCAAATTAGATTTTGATATACTACACGCTGAAATGTCATTAATCATTAATATTGCCTGACACGCGTAAGTACAAGCTTCAGTCGGTGAAAACCCGATCGTAAATTTGTTTGTCGATAACATTTCAAACACACCAGTCTTTGGGTTAATACAAAACGGTGGCATCCACTTTGATTCATGTGAAACTACGTTCGTCTGGTCCTTGTTTTCATTATATAACGAATGGATATGCCAGAAATATTTCACATCAAGAGGAGTTTTATTCATGATTTCAAGCGATTGTTGAGCACTGGCATTTACAATCACCTCGTCTTTGAAAACCATACGATCTAAAAGACCCATATTAGGGATACTTGTATCGATTTGTACGTGATTTATTTTCGTGGCTACTACTTCCACTTGACAGCCCCGACCAACCAATTCAAACACTTTCACAAGACAATTATCACAGACCATCACAAAGTTTTCTCGCTGTTCGTGACTTTCAGACGGAATGTAGATAAGCTCTAAAATGACACTTTGGCCTTTTGCCAGCTCAAAAGCAGTGGGTTGTAACGAAAAAGGACCGATTTTCATTGTAGCGTCCAACATATTACCGTTTTCGAGCATTTTCACCACTGTATCAACTGTCGAATTCTCAAGCTCACGATGGTGCAATTGAGAATAAGCGAATTCAGTGAGAATCCAAAATTTCGCTTTGCCTCCAAGATTCTTACATTTGAGCGATTTTACAGAACGTCCACCCACAAGAGTGTTCTGAGCTTGGATGACAAGAGGTAACGTCAATTCTGGAGATTCTCGGCTTGCTACAAGTGGAACTATCATAGTACTTGAGTTAGAAGATCCTTGAGTTTCCGATTGCATAGTTTCATACTGAACTGAAAAACTGTCGGTAAAGTCGGCACGAGAATTTGGTGTAAATCGAATGCATACTTCAATATGCATTCCAGGTGCGACTTGATTCCGATCTGTTGGAAACTTTATACTAGTTAGTGTAAAGAACATGGTGCTAGGTGAAAGGATCCGTGCACATCGAGATAGCACGCTAACATTGCGAACATAAACAATTTGCTCATACATGCCACCTATATCGTACGTGGAGAATAGAATGGGGGGCTTGGGTGCGACGGCAAAACATGGTGGATTCTTCTCATTTCCTTTAGCAAGATTATGTCTCGTCATTTTCGATACATCTTGTATTGAATACCGCGGATTTCGCACGAAATTGAGTTTACTTTGCATCCGCTTGAGAATTGCTCTATTTTTTCGCTTTTCAACTGGGTTCATTGACTGAAGTTGACCGTGGATGTTTGCTTTGAGTAGATGAGCCGACGCTGCAGTTGCACGTTGTACTGCATGAGCAGCTTTGATGTCTGCAATATCATGCTTATGGTGCTCAAGCGTTGCTTCTGTGCGTATATTAAACGACGTTGTCGTGTTAAGGTACCCCATATATTCTTCTTTTTGGCTCTCTTTCCCTGTTCGTTTTACCAATTTCTCCTGATTACCACTAAGATGCTGTCGTTTTTCCTCGTACTCGACCATAAACGTCTTTGCGTATAGTAATGACTCGACAAACTCACCAAAATCGGATCCTTTATCTTGAGCAAGCTGCAATTCATGATCGTTGAGCCTTAAATTGGTCGGACCTATCGGTATCTGCGCTTTTAAAACTAATCCCTGGTCACTTAAGTTCTGAGCAAATTGAGCATCGGCCTCAGCCGCTTCTTGTTGCCTTAATTCCATAAATTGAAGCAGTGAGTTTGCTCGTTCGTGTTTGCGTTCAAACTTAAGCGCAATTGCCTGCTTTCGAGCTTGAGCTTGAGCCACAAAAGGACTTTCCTCTTTCACCTCTTGCTCATTCAGATCGTCGTTGTTTCCAGTCTGTTGTACTTCCCTTTGTGCTTCCGACGTATCACTGATTAATCTTGCTGACTCACTCTCACTTAAAACTTGGATAGCTTGGTCACGAATTTCGGGCTTATCGTAAAAAGTGTGAAATGCACGTCGAATTACGTGCGCGGTAGCTCCTACCGCCACATGATTCGGTTCATTCTGCTCTTGAAACTTTTCAAGCCTTTCGCATTCTTCATGATGCATCTGCAATGCAATATCATCTGCTACAGCATCGAGATCCAAAGTTTTTGCTGTTTGGTCAATCTCGTAGTCGCTGGTACTTGCTGCTTTCGATTTCGATGCTCCTGTCATCAGCTTGCGTCGTTTCAAGATTCGCATACATAAAATATATTTCAAGGGTTTTTAATCTTTTTTATCTCAATTCGCAATCACAGTACGTAAACAGTGTCGCGTGATTTGCATTTTGACTGCTGTCGTGATGGGATGGTCGCACACCTTGCACAGAAAGAGCATCGACTCAACGCATCCACGTTCACAAACGCACAGAAATTGGGTTTATACGCTCTATCCAGGATCGGAGCCGATCACTTCAGCACAATTTTGATTCACCTCTCAGCATGTCCTGAGGGAATAAATTTCCTTACACAACGCCACCAGTTCATCCTAGATCTAAAAACGAGGTAGCGAATTCGTGTCGGAAGTATCTTTGCTAGAAATGTAACTATTGTTTATCCAAATTGAGTTTGCGCCGGTACTAATATCCAGATCTCCACACTCTAATCGGGAAAATCCGTTAGTTACTTAAGAGGCTTATGTGACAGATAATTATAAGCATCTTGCAAGTCAATGCGAGAGATATAGTGACGTCGTTGCTATGGGTAATGACACATACGTGCATGATTCCAGTACGCTAGTATTGACACATAGTGCAGCGGTAAATAGGTGTGAGATTGTGAGTCAATCTTGTGTGTCGTTGGAGTTTTCCTTTTATCGCCTTTTTGTTTTGGCTCCTTTGTCGGCTTCCGAGTGATCCATACAGTCCACGAGACCACACAAATTATATTGTCAGCCATTCAAATTACGTCAACTGAGACTCTTCTTTTTGACTACATATGTATGAATTATCTGTGCTAGGTCAACTTTATTAAAGCTTCTCCAATGCGGCTTCTACCTCAGCATCGCTAGATACGATAAAGCTTTTCGTGCCCGCCTTTTCCAGCAGTGCCTCAAATTTCTCCACATCCGTGTCAGCATCGATTTTCTTCAACAGCGCAGTGGCTTCTGCTACAGAAATTGACTTCACCCCTTTTTCAGCTTTGTCAATAAAGACAGCAGCCTTTGGATGGTCTACAAGATTATTGCACGGCACATTCACAGCCATACCGTTTTCCAAAGCCACCACGCGCTTTTTCGACAATTTGCTGGCAGCGTCCACAACCGCGCCACCAAAGAAAGACGTCACACCTAAAGAGTTCCAGATGTTTAAATGAGCACTATAGAGCTGACCCTTGTTGATGGCTGTAGCACGTCCAGATCCAGTGGCATTAAAAACAAGTGCTACCTTGTCATCCGTCATTAAAACATCCGACGGAACCACAAGAGACTCGGATTCAGTCACATTGAGTAGCTTCTTCTTGGCAAGACCAACAGCGTCTTGAACAGTCGATAAATTAGCTGCACCCGTGATTACAACTTTAACAAAAGTTGCTCCATCGTCATCGTTATCAATAAGCAGTTGAGCTTGAGGCTCTTTTCCTTTAAACTCACCACCAGTAGCTACGTAAACCACAATCGGACGAGCAGCATGTGGATCTTTAATTGGCACACGCACCAGTAGATTCTGGGCAAATAGTGCTACCAATGGAGAGTCTGAAATGACACGTACACGCGTGCGATCATCCTTGAAAGATCCAACAGCACCGTCTTGTGTAAACAGATTGGGTTCTGTAGACAGGTGCTCCGTCACCTTTTCATACAGACCTTCAAAGGTATTGAATACGATATTGACGTCAACCTCTTCAATTTTTACGCTCTTGCCAGCTATTAAGAATCACATAAGCAAGACGAAAGAGATTAAGTTATTGTAACAACAAATTACCACAAGCTTACCAGGCTTCTCGTGCTTAGCAAGTTCTTCAAGCTTGGACCAGCTAAGGTTGCGGAAGGCATCACCATGAGGTGTCACATCATCTCCCGCAAGAGACCAATTAAATTCGATATTTAGACCTTCGTGTTCTTCTGGAAAGTCCTACTTGCAAGAAGCATTTAGTATCTGGTATCGATTCTTAATGTAAAAGCTGCAAAGCGTGAGCTACTGTGCGTACCACGACAAACTTGTCAGCAGCGTGTGGGGAAACACTGAAGCGACGTAGAAAAGTACGTTGCCCTTTAAACGAACGGAACACCTGAAGACTTTGACGGAGTACCATGGGAGCGACTGACGTGAGGCTGAGATATAAAGTACTATTAATCGCACTTAATATTTTTACACAACCTATAATAGTATTGTAAGTTTAAAATATGAATGTCTCGCTAGTGGCGTATGGTTTGGCTCCGTCAATTCTCGGTATGAAGACAATAGACATTCATGCAGATGAAGATGTGAGCTTAATAGTAAATGAAAGATTGTGATACGTTCCAATTGTACAGCTGCGCTATTTCGCGCAGGTTTTCGATATCAGAAAGACCTTGAGAATATTTCAGCCCGTGATTTAGCTTGTGGTCCGTAATGATAGAAATTATCAAACAGATTTCAAATGTATAAGTACTGAGTTTCATGCTGCTACAGAAGCAAAGATTGATGTGAAAGATGCAGTAGAAGTGCTGGAGATTGTACGAAGTGAAGATAAGGTAGAAGCTGTAGGGGTTACAGCCCTTGATCTGCTCCAGGTTGAGGCCATACATTTGAAGGTTGCTATTCGAGAATTTGACAACTGAGAATTCTGTTAGAAATTAAGTCAAAGCAAGCCAATTTCAATGGGACTGCAGATGGATAGATTGCTGGGTGGTGGCTTGCAACGGGGAGAAGTTACGGAAATTTGTCAGTCATGCATTTTGAGAGCTTCGTATCAAGTGTTCAAGACAATAATCTATACATTTGCTGAAAAGGTGGAAGTCCAGGGTCTGGAAAAACGCAGTTCGGGCAAGTGTTTGTAGTATGACGAGTTCTTGACGAATTGGCTGACTTATCAATCTGATACTGAGCAGGATTCATGCTTGCTTAGCTGCTCAGTATGTTGTAAATGCGTCTGGGAACCCTTCATCTGCTATATTTATTGGTCTGTGGATATCTTAAACAAATGCCTTGTATCAATACAGCTGATAAAGTCGATGTTAATGAACAGATAGTGAAGGTAGTTTTATCGTCGAGCGTGTGGCATCAATGGCAGAGCACTTTATAGCAGATTTCAGCCAAATTTGCTCGAATAAATTGGTATGTCTGTCCTGTAGAGAACCATTTCTTTTGGAATCGCTGCTTTATTTTACCAAAACATCTGTGTAGTCGCGAGATGATTTATTGCGAGGAATTTCATACTACAGGGTGCACGATTTTGTCGAGCAAATGGAAGTCTTGCACTCGCTTTCTATTCAATTACAAACGATGCCTGAGGTTGTTGAGAAGCGAAAATTCGAATATTTCTAACTTTTTCTTTCAGTGCAATCTGCTTGTCATTGATACGATTGCTTTTCACTTTCGTCACGGATTTGAAAATTACGTCCAAAGAGCACGAGCGCTGGACGAAGTAGCTGTTTTTCTACATAATTTAGCTACTGATTTCAATATTGCGGTAAGTTTGACATGAAGTTTTATCGAGCTCGCACGTTATCGTGGCTATTGCCGCAATGATTGTAGATCGTATTGATTAACCACATCACTACAAAGTCGACTGCGATCGATCGACAAAGCTCGCAGGAGCAACCAGCTTTGGGTGGGTTTCGTTGATATCCTTTGTTACTGCTATATGACTCAATTTATTTCCATATAAGGTGACGGCTGGGCTCATTCTATTACAAGTCGGATAGTGTTTGGATGGGAAGTACGTGGATAATGTGATTTGTTATCACATTGAAAATGTTAAGTAATGAAGGTATGATCTTGCAGACAAACTGTCGAATTGCTAGTTTGATCAAGTCGGCCACACTAGCACATCATTCTATCGCTTTTCAAGGTCAACTAGACTGAAACTTTTAGTAGTTGTTAATCAATAATCCTGACTATCATGCTGATTCAGTATCGGAGCGAGGATTACGCGATGTGATTGAGGACAAGTAGTAGGAATACTTTTCTAACGAAGATGGAAAGGAAACTCGTTGTTCAGCAAAATCAATATAAGCTACCGTACTTCATTTCGTTCCTACGTGCTCTAAACAAGCGCTTCCTGCTTCTGGCATGCCAAACCCATGTGGCCAGCATAGCACTCGCATGTTCCTGTGTCATAGTCACAAGTGCCTCGACCCGCACACTCGGAGAGTTCAGTAAGTGGACGATATACCGCCGTATCTTCAGCTATCATGTTTGAAGTGCCCAATGTTATTGGATACACTTCCTTCACGACGCATGTGCCAGCAGTGACACCAGCAGTCATTGGATGTTGTCCCTTTGTATTATGCGCAGCCACATTACATCCCAACAAATGCTGATACCCAGTGGAGCCAGGCTCTGACGAAAAGATCACCTCACAAACGCCCTTAATTTGGGTTCCGCCACCTGCAAACGCAGCAGCATCAGTATTGATAAACTTATTGATCGTTCCATACCCCGTTGCATCTGTTGGATCCGAACGCGTGAACGCGTAAAACCTTCCAACAGCCTCAACGCTAACGGTATTAAGCACGTTATTTGGCAATCGTCGAAGCGCCTTCTGAATGTTTAAACAAGTAGTTGCATCATCAAAAGTGGAGCCTGATCCACCAAACGTAATCTTTTCCGTCGTATACGCATTTCCGTACGGATCGTAGTACGTTAAATACCCATTACCTCCTGGTTTATCAAAAATGATCGCTTGTACCATATCGTATTGATTCGGGGTAAGCGGATCATCGCCTTTTGGACACATACGCCGTGAACAATCGTGGCCTTCATAATTGGCATCACATACACAACCCATAATCTTTTCTTGGTCCCAAAGCGTGTACTTTCGATTCGTCACGCCACCAATTTGCTTGTGAAATGTATCAGACGCTAATTCTTCCATAAATTCACATGTACCGTGGCCACTGCAGTCATTTGGACATCGCATTCGGCGACACCCACTGCCAATGAATCCGTCGTCACAATTACACTCTCCAGTTGCTCGATCACACTTGCCACGGTTACCACACTCTGCGTAGTAGTGGGCATCATCGTCTCGCTGAGCCGTATCATGCCACGCACGAGTATATGGACATTGTCGATCCGAGCAATCTCCACCCATCCAATTTTGCATGCATTGACAAACGTCGTTAAGACCACATTTACCATGTCCAGAACATTTGTTAGGACAAGCCCCTTGCACCATAGGCGGAATCATGAAAACTACCGCTAACGCCATAACAAATGGCCACATGATCAAAACTAGGTTTGTATTGCGACTTGAGATGCTAAAAGGTGAAAATCCTGATGTGATCAAACTATTGATCCATGAAACGACGTCCGTTAGATAAACGACTTCGTGTGCGATCTTACAAGGCGTCATTAAGTGACCATTGACACACGATCTTTGTGAAAAGACGTCAGTAAAACAATAGAAAATGTTTAACACTTAGTGGTGGCAAAAAGTTTCTCAATAAGTTGCTCTCCTATATGAATAGCGCCAACCACCCTGCAATTAACGCAATGCCCCCAATCGGCTATATACTCATCAATACAAACGCTATATTAACACATCGCCAAGTGGTTATATATATTGAAATGACGCACTGTGATCATGCCGAGTTTCTTCTGTTCCGTAAGCGTCATGACATATAACGAGCCTGAGAAGAGCAACGTACCTCCGGCTATGAATCCTCCCGCAAGTGTTGGTCGCCGAGACATTGGCGCGGCTAAAAGCACTACGGAGTGAATGAGCTGATAGTGCGCTGCAGTTTCCCAGTTCTTGAGCATGTGTGGATCCTTGACATGTTTTTTAAGTCCATGAGCTCCAAAAGCCCCTTAAAATTAAAGTCACATGCGTCATCAAAAGTGGAAGCATCGAACTCATGATCGAAGATTTATATGCGTACACACCAAGAAGAATACCAGTGGCACCGGAGAGTGCTCCGAGTTTCCACCAAATTGAGGCCGCTGGAGAGATCACACTTGCCTTCATAATCAAACAAGTTGGGATAATCACCTGGGACTATTTCTATTTAACCCACGCTGAGGAAGTGGCTTTTAAAACTTAGTAAGCGGATATTTCGTGCGAAATTCATCAGAAATTCTTAAACCTAATTTTCAAAAACATCAAAAACGCACATTATAGCAAATAAATACAATCAGATCTAGTATCTTTGTCAATCAGTTTGCTAAGGTGATGCTGCTGACATGAAGAGAACTCTTGTGTCTGAAAGAGCGAGCTATTCCGCAGCCTTTAGCAGACAATTCTTTGTGGCTTCGCATATTCATATAAAGGATCGATTCCGTATTGAAGCGCAGAGGATAAAAATTGTACGCTCCATCCAGGGCAAAATCAAAAGCCTCTACAAACGCTAGGAATCCATCAAATTGACAAAGTTATACAATAAATCTTGATAGTTTGTAAATTTGATACTTCTGAGTTCTGCTCTGAGCCCAAAAAACAAAACAATAGTGAAGTTAGTACGTCCGTTGTATATACGAAGAGGTACTCCTGGCAATAATTCTCGCTGATTGACGCCTTTGTATGTCTCACTATATCTGGGCTATATTCTAGAGATACGCAACTTATGCAGCTGGTTGAGCTTGTGACCGAAAAAGGATCATCAGCAACCACAAGGCTAAGAATGGATGCATTTTTATTGGCGTTGCACCTCTGGCAGAATTGAGCCTAACGGCATACCGTATACTTTGCTCTCACAATTCAGAATGTATTAGTGTGGAGCGCCCCAATCTCGGATATGATATTAAAATGTTTGCTAAAGGCCTAAAAGAAAGCCGTACATTCGTTATTGAGAGATAATGCGCAAATTTGTATTTGATCATACTTGCTCTATGAAAGACGTGAGATTATGACTGATGACATTACAAAACTAGCATTATTACAGATGCATAGGTAGCCGTTTATTAGTCAAGGTGAACCAGATTACATTCGCTTTACAAGCCAGGTAACATTGGATCGACTAAAAGATACACAACTATTTCCCAAATATATCCACCTCACGAACCTCACAACGTTCACCTTTTATACCACGTAATAGCTCAACTGGTGAGATTCGCCGGAAGGCTAGGGCTCTCGTCTCTGTCATGTCTGCTGAAGTCATCTTGAAAAGCAACAAGTACTTTTACTGGGAATGGGTAGACAATTAAAGCCAAATACAAATATTAGCGAAGCCGTATTATTCCGTGAAAATAAGCTGAAGGATGCTTCTGAAACCCATTCAAAATTTTGTTTGGAAACGGCATCGATGCAGGCATGCAATGTTGCGAAAGCTTTGCAACCAAATACGTTGCATATTTACTGCGTCGGTGGCTTTTCGTCTTGAAATGGTATTATTTCTCACCATGGATTAGTCAAGCACTTTGACAGGCTTGATAAGTACAGAGGATCAATAGTCAGTCGTTGCTACCAACAGAATAATGAACAAGAAAGTACTGAGTCGATCGGTATGCGCTGATAATTTGATCATCAAGATAACAAACAGTGTACGCGAACACTACACCACACGAGGTGGTTACCAGATCGTGCCACGCCTGGGCCATTGACGAGTGGTTAGACACGGCTTGGTACACTTAGAGCTGGAGGCAGAACAAGTTCAATTGGTGACGTTACCAAAGGCTTTTCATGGCATCTATGACATGAGATAATGGTAATCATCGAAAGTGTCGATGACAAAACATCTCTTACATATGTAATCAGTGGATCTCGAACCAAAATGCTTAACGCTAATTTACGTGACTTTATGCCAGAGTTAATCCATTTTGGAGAAGCCAATGTTGCCAGTCGAAGAACATACTGATAGCGTGATGCGCCATGCATGAGCTGACAAACTGACGCTTTTGACCGGCTGATAGTAAAGTATTGCGTAAGGCAAACACGCTGAGAGTGACAGGCAGCTAAGAAATTGTCCTTAAATTTAACCAGGACGGTGTGAGATCGTTTCAAAGTGGTTTAATCAAAGCAATCTGAGAAACAGCACGATACGTAGCGACGGGTATAACGGAGAATGTATCCTACTACGATGTGCATACACATAACACTATCGTCCCTCGAACTTGAGCATAGCCCGGAGCACATTAATTTTGGTCCTCCTGTATGCAAGTTGTGTGGCAAATTCATTGCACGCATCTCCAAACAGCGCATGTTTGAGCTGGTAGCCTGAAGTTAAAAATACTATCCTCATAAGCATGAATTTACTATGTACCCAATCTTCTGGTGCGTACAAATATCATTTTGTTATTCATGCTTTTTTTAGATTATTGTACTATGAAACGAGTTTAGCTACTCTCGATACTTTATGTACATGTAAAGTTTGTACTTGGACCGCCATGGTTCTGCCTGTAGCATTTAGCGGATACAGATCAAGGTCACCAGCAGCTCGCCAGTGCACTATACTCGTCCAAATTCTTGGCCAGGGACACGGAAGCCCCGCGCAAATGCTTCGAAATTTCATCACACCATCGTGTCATTCCCAAGGTTGTTATGTTTCTCGCATCTAATGCCGTCATTTTTGCTTGATAGCCAGCACTACAGGCTGTCTGAGCAAACGTGAAGTGGTGCGTGCTGTTACTGTTATTTTATGCAATGATGCTCACGCAAGATCGCTTTGGCGGACCATTCGCGGGAAACGTCAAGTCCCAGTAGAAGCAGGTCACTGGTTTTCTTGTATTTGATGGATGTCGTGGTCAGTAAGACTAAGCTCTGAAACATATACGAGAGGTAAAAAGAACATTCCAAGGTTGTTGGGTGTTTATATCAGCGCTTAGGTTATGTGAAGCCGTAAAAATATAGATGTGTAGTAAATCTGCATACGACGTGCGACTGTCCAAAACATTAGACAGTACACGGAGGTACACGGGATACCAATACGGATACAGTACACGTGCATCTTATGAAGGGAACAGGCCCAGGTATTTATTGAGCTTTAGATAAATGTAATACCTTGAAAACCTTGCAAGTTGTCGCGTCAATTATTAGAGTCTGAGACATTGCGGCTTCCTAGGCATGACGTGGCTGTACCTCCATATGCTATAAATTATTTGGGTTACAATAAGTAGGTGCTACTCACTCGCAGCAAAGACCAAGAGCAATTTTGGCCCAGGCATGAAGCTGCGATAGCTTCTATGCAATACATGGGGTTGCCCAAAATTGTTAATAATGATACTTTAGGTAGCTTGGATGGCAGAAGCAGAGTAAGCGGCTGTCTTAGAACGAGATACAGAAAAGCGATCGAGTACCACGGTCTCCAACGTGTAAATCTGGGGGGATGGGAGAGAGCGACTGAATGTTGTGGTTCTCGGAGCGTATATCTAGTGATTCGGCAGAGAACAGTTGTGAGCCAGTAGCTCCTCAATCAGGCCCGGAAGAGAAAGGAAGCGACTTCAGTCGCTTTCTCCTGTGTCAATGCCAAAGGTGCCGAAGAGCGACTGTAAGTTGCAAGTAGAAGGGCCCGACTCTGATTTGAAGATCATTGTCGTGATGAAACATTACTGCTGAGTCAGTACTGCTCCCGCCGCGGAGCAGTAAAGCTTCACCGGGAAGTTACTAGTTATATCGTTTGCATCTGACTAATATTCTCAGAGGCTGTAAGTCCACCCTCTCCACCTTCGCAAGAAGCTAAATTAAGGTAGAGGGTAATTCTTTAGAGATCTGTACAAAGAATTGCGTGGCATTGAGGTCACAGAAATGGGAAGGTCGGAATTAAAGTCGAGTGGTTGAGATCATCACCCGTCATGGAAAGTCAGTCATTGGCACTTTCAGTGCTCTAAGCGCGGGGGCTGAGATAGCTGTCTCAAGGATGATCACGACTGGTCAGAGAAAACCCGTGATACGTGCTATCCCCAGATTGGAGAGTGCGTATTCGAATAGACTCATATACAAAGCCATATACGGTAGAGATCTATGCAAGGAACAGTGTGACATCATAGACACGTACTCACGCGCAAAGCAAAAGGTTATATGGTGAGAGAGTTGCTATTCCGACTTGACGCCGACTTTTGATGCCGAAAAGGTTAGCAGCAAGTGGCAAATTGTGATTGCTTGTTTCAAGCTACAAGTATTCACTATTCTGGCGCGAACGCAAATGTTACGGAAGGTTATACCGCTGAACAACAAAGTCGACTACACTTTGTTCAGCGCCTTTGGCCTATCTGATGGATATTGTCAACCGCTCAGTGGAGTGGTGCTCTCTCTCTCTCACTGCAATCATACTCAGATTGAGATGCCTTGGTAGGTTTTGGTTATGCCGCGAAAATTGTCGAGTACATTGAAGACGTTCAACCGTCTGGTGTCGCTCTACTGTAAATCAAATCTGCCATGTCATGTCCTTTGTGACGTTTCAGGATTTGATTCGGTTGCATATTACTCAAAGGAGGTATCGATAAGCATGAACGCGTAATTGCGCTCAAGACTCGCTAGCTTGAATCTGCACAACAAAATCGCCCTGGTCATGACAAGGAGCTACTCGCAATGAAGTATACCCTCGTCGAGTTCAGGGTGCACTTGCTCGAATCTAAGCCGTTTGAAATTCGCGGCATTTCTCGCTGCGTAAATCGATGTCATCATCACATTACTCCCAGAGAATTTCGAGAAATCAATCCATATGTGCCGGTACACCTTAAAGGATAGACATTAGCTGAGTCGCTTTGATGTGGTAGCGGTTGCGATTTCATGTCGCCGCAACTGAGAGCACGTCGCGCATCGAGTAGGCGATGTATCCAGCATACAAATCAAATTTTGCATGCATTGCGCCGCTAGAAATAAAGAGAGTTGTTTGATCAAAATGCGCGGTTACACGCTTGCACTGCTACGCCTTATCCCATCGACGCTGTAACATATATCGCTTAGTGGCCTCGCGATGAGGACCTTACGTATAAATCACTGCTTGAGGCACATTTTTCTCCTTTGAGTGGCCGCCTAGAAAGCGAACGGACAAACTGCTTCGTATGTGTCATATATAAAGTTGGTTCATTATATATAAGTGAGTAAGCACATATCTGACCACTAGTAAACACACCAGTAGGTTTAGCCATCGCCGCATACAGCGGAATCTTCGGCCAGTTTGTCGGATCTGGCAGGATGCTAGACGTCCATCCGTATGAGCTTTATATTTGGATTTATGAAAGACACGTCAGGTAATTGTGGTCTTGTGAAGAGTCTGAGCACGATGCTCATCTTTCTGCAGTCAGCAATGATATGACCTGCGAGGATACAGCCGAGCTGCTCCTTGACAGAGTGTTATTGCCAACATGGCTTGCCTGTTGCCATTGTATTGAATAGAGCTCAGCGCTGTATAGCTCAGTTTTCGCAAACAATGTCCAAGGTGCTCAGCACCTAAGACGGTGGCAATCTGCAAACAGATGACCAGAAAATGCATTTTGTAGGTGCGGAAAAGCCCTAGTTCTGGAACGAGTTACCCCCACTCTTCGAATGTGCGATAAAAAGGCAATACATGCCACTCTTAGCTTCATTCCATTTTATATTGATGATCAGGAGAGCCCTCGGGCTTCTTGGACACGACCACCATGTTGCTCCAGTCTCAAAGGGAAGGGTTGTCAATCAGAATTGCCTTGCCGACATCAGCCCGACTACACGTCGTAGTATAGCAAAAACCAACATCGAATACAGATATTTCATATACGTAGGAACGGTCTGTGCTGACAAGATTAAGTTGCGAGCGCGCCGCGTCAAATTGTTAAGGGTTAGAGAAAAGTAAATTAAATTTCATATTTGACTTTCCAAAAAAAGGTAAATGTATCCTGTGCCCTCGTTAGGCATATTAGAGCCACATTACGATTTAATTTTTATGAACCTGTCGTATGTGAAGGGCTCTGCTGTAGAAAAAAACAGTGTCCCTGCATCAGAGCTTCCTATGTTCTAGTGCAGCGACATGGGTTAGAATTTCTCTGGGGACCTTTCGCCGCGAAGCGCGATGGCTTAGCTCAGAGAACAAGTCCATACACACTGAGACTCGCGGTGAAAATTGACGAGCCGCCCCAACCGACAGAGTTCACAAGAGCCAACCACAAATGCGATCTTACTTCGGCCCTGCTCGATTAGCTTATTATAGGTAGGTCGTTGAGTACCATAAATCATAGATCGACCGCAGGACCAAAAAACTAGTTGAGTGCCACGTATTTATGTCCTCACAGCGGTTAAGCCAGTCGTGAGACTCACCTCTGCTCAAAATGAAGCACTCGAGAGGGCCAGTAGGAAGCTACAATTGCTTTGTGCTAAACAGATGATTTTTTGAATTGCCAAAAAAACATGTTAAGGCTCAGCACAACCTTCGACTCTCTCACGCGTGTCCATGTTGCTAAACACACAAATTCTATATTCGTGCACTTTTCACAGGTAAAGCTTTGAGTCTAAAAGTCAGTACTCAAATATACACAAATGTCCGGTTTGTATACTTTTACCGGAAGCGAACTGAAAGAGCCAAACGAATATCGGTGTGTTTTGTCGCTGCTATTTCAACAGCGCATATACTTAAAATAATTGCTATCCAGACTAATACTATATATACGTATTAATATCTTTCAAAGCAAACTGTCATTATTCTCTGATAGTCGGCTAGCAACACACGCAAAGCCGGATCCCTCTTTTTCCTAATTCAATCATTTTCATTAATGCAGATATTTCAGCACCTATGCATTTGCCTTTAAAATACTCACAATTACGCCGAAGTGCAATATGATTTTACAACTTAAGCAAACGTGTAAGCTGGAAAAACACAAAAGTAATATATTCATCTCGTCACAGTAAATGCATCTTTAATGCTTTTTAGTACTGCTTTTTACTTTCGAGAGTCGCAGGTCGTACAAAATTGTGCAATGCTTTTAATTTTATCATAGATTTCTTTGGCTAGCAAAGTCTACTATTCTACGTTAACAATCAGCAAGCCTGAACTGGGAACATTATCTCTCTGACAGTGAGTCGCTCCTTTAGTGGCTGGATCACTTTGATTTCGACTTCTACGAGGTAAGATAGAAGCCACTTATTTTTCTGTTGGAGTGGGTCTTACGTTTCCTCATAAGAGATTTGTCGTCCGCCCTGGTGTGAGATCTTGACCCTTCGTATCTCTCAGCCGAGAGCAAAGGAAGGCACGCAAGGCGCAACCAGTTTGTTTTACCGAAGATGGAACATGTGGGTACAGCGGGGTTGTTTGACACCTTAAAAAATACTTTTCTCTTTCTCTGCATGATTGAATTTCATCGCTTGTGGAGCGCTCGTTTAGTTTCCAGTGCGATTCCCCAGCCGACAATTGCGGTTCTGTATTAGTACTCTGCATTTAATGTGACATTTACCTCTTCTTTGAAAGATGTAGAGTAGGTGTGGTAGGTCTAGGCGCGAGTCGGTCCTGTCCAATTACCCTTTGTATAGATGATAATTGTCATCGTCTCCAGGAGGTGGCTGTTGACATTGCGGCAAGAAAAGCTCGCAACCCCTGGACGTAGGCACCCGTTTTGGCCTGCATTGCCCACTCGTTCTTGAATCACAATCAATTAGCTTAATAGGCATCGCGGCATATGTCACATATAATTGTTGGGCACGAACCCTTCACATCAGTACTTCATGTCTCCTACCCTGATGAATGACCCCAAGCGTGACGCGCTGTTGCTCCGCCTGGAGCACGGCCTTCTCAATATCCCAAGCATGAGAATAAAATTGTATCCGACTTTGCCCTCTGAGGACTGGACCCTCAAGAATGTCATTCTAGTGATTTTAACTGGTTGTACAGCTGCTGACAGCCGTTTGAGCTTTAGTGGAGCATAACCATCATTTTCTTGCTGATCTTCTTCTCTTTACCAGCTCATAATGCACGAGTGTAGCAGCACAACCACATCTCTGGTTTCCCTTGAAACTGCTCGAGTTCTATCAAAATCTCTCTATCTCACAGGAAGGTGAAGAAAAGGCTTCAAATACATATAAAAAACACTGTAATTTAGGGTAGTGTAGTACCGGCTATCATCATATTTAGCTGACGCAGCTGTAATGTCTGGCTGATCCATCCTGTATGAAAAAGCAGTTTTTCTGGAGACGATCCGTCTCAAATACAGATCTGAATGTTTTCATGATCTTCAAAGATGCGCTCCTGTACAATTCCGCAAAAATAAGATTGTACATTTGTATGAGATTTACACTACACTTCTGTGTATTTAGTTACAATTTACAAGCACCAAAGTATTAATTCAACCCCGTAAAGGGAGGTCTACTGCTGCTATTCCCACATCAATAGGTTTATAATTGAACATAGCGAACGTATGTTCAATTATGATTCGTTAAAATACTAATGGACTCTATTATGTCACACTTATAATAGTTGAACCATCCAGGCATTTAGTTCTTCGAATTATCGATCCCGCCAATGGGTACAGCTACTAATTCAGCCTTTGTGTGATGTATACTTTATAAGTCAAAGCTTCTCAATTTAAGGTGCACGCAACCCGTTGAGCTCGGTGCCACTTTTAGTCAACTTCACGTTAAAATACTTTAGTTTTGTAAGGGTGGAACAGGAGATGCTTGATTACAATTTCTCGGGGAAACATGATCAGCTTATCAAGCTATTGAATATTGATGACTGTTGGTCGCGAAGAAATAAGACCGCTCGCGGCTATGATCGAAATCCTCAATTGCTCGCCTGGAGGCTACGAAAAATCACTGAAATCTATACCAACAAAAGAGACACGAGTTTTTAGTCTCAAACTGTCGATAATAAC